AGCAACAGCTCTGATCAGCGGAGAGGATGATTCTGTCACTGACTACAGCTGTACAGGGACTCCCCCTGTCTTAGCCATTGTTGGAGATCCTGGTTCTACACATTCTATTGCCATATCAAGAATACTGGGCCTCTTCCAGATTCCAATGGTACAGTAAAATGGATTAAAACATGAACCAAAGAGCATTGGAAATTTGATATTCTGAACTTTATTTAAGTGATCAAAACAAAAGTGATTGTTTTATGCTTATACATAATCTAAAACTAAATTAAATAACATTTTATGATGTAACTAAATGTTCTTATCACCTGGTGGTGAAATGGAGATCTTATTTTTTTCCATCAAAGCAGTAAATGTTTATTTTAATAATGACCATAAAACATTACGTTGGAGCTTTAAGAGAAAGTATTCCATGAAAAGAATATGTCTGAAATGTAGAGTATGTTAAATTACCTGGGCTCATATATAATGCTCAAATTTTATAATGCTCAAACGTCTACAAGCTATGCAGATAACAGATTTAGTCTATGTGAAAAAAATAGAAAATGCCATAATTACAGCTACACAGAATTTACAGATTTTTTTAATTATCCATGACATTGTTGGATTATTCATGTACATTTTTAACTCTCATCTCTTCAGAGCTATATGAAATGTTAAATGTTCTATCATTTATTAGATAATTTGAAATATCTTTTCATGTTTTCCAGGTCAGTTATTATGCCACATGCTCCTGCCTCAGTAATAGAATGGAGTTCCCCACTTTCTTCAGGACTATTCCTAGTGATAAGTTCCAAGTCAAAGCCATGGCTGAAATTATCAAGCATTATGGATGGACATGGGTTGGTGTCATAGCAAGCAATGATGACTACGGTCAGAATGCTGTCAAGAGTTTTATTGAGGAGATAAACAAGTTCGGCTGCATAGCTTTCTCAGAAACCCTCCCCAGTGTTAACTCGAGAGCCAGAATCATGCAAATCATGCAAACCATTGTACAGTCCACAGTGAGAGTCATTGTTGTGTTTTCAGCTGGATCGTATTTTTTTCCATTGGCTCAAGAAGTCGTTCAGCAGAACATCACAGACAGGCAGTGGATTGCAAGTGAAGCCTGGAGCACTTCCGCTGTAATACTTGGTGAAAAAAACTTTGGCTTATTTCTGGGGACATTAGGAATTGCCATCCGCAGGGGAGAAATCCCAGGGCTGGAGAAGTTTCTCCTTGAAGTTCGCCCTGTGTCTGATCCCAAAAATAATTTACTTGGTCA